ACTGCTGTGGGTGGCGACTATTAGAAATGAAGATGTGGCCGGGCGGTGATGGCACACGCCTTTAGTCCCAGCACTCGGGAGCCAGAGGCAGGCGGATCTCTGTGAGTTCGAGGCCAGCCTGGTCTAAAAGAGCTAGCCCCAGGACAGGCTCCAAAGCCACAGAGAAACCCTGTCTCTAAAAACAAAACAAAACAAAACAAAAAAAGGGAAAGAAATGAAGATGTATGTGAGGCCATTACATTAAGATTGGTTATAGACCATTGTGTTAGGGACCAGACCAGTCATAAAAATATCCAACCTAATACCGCGTTCTGTTTTTCATTTTCTTTATTTTTTCATGTATGTGGGTTTTTGCCTACATGTATGTCTGTGCTACCTGTGTGCAATGCCCAAGGGAGCCAGAAGAGGGCGTTGGATCCCCTGGGACTGGAGTTACAGATGGTTGTGAGCCCCTTGTGGGTTCTGGGGAACACACACAGGTCCTCTGGAAGAACAAGTGCTCTTAACTGCTGAGTCATCTCTCCAACCCCTACTTTATTTTTTTCACAGTTTTTTTTTTTTTTTGTTTTGTTTTTCGAGATAGGGTTTCTCTGTGGCTTTGGAGGCTGTCACTGGAACTCGCACTGTAGACCAGGCTGGCCTCGAAGTCACAGAGATCCGCCTGCCTCTGCCTCCCGAGTGCTGGGATTAAAGGCGGGCGCCACCAACGCCCGGCTTTTCCAACCCCTACTTTAACTGGAAGAAAAAATTTTAAAGTTTGTTTTAATTCTTGAGACAGGGTTGTATGTAGCCCAGGCTAACCCTGAACTTGGCCTCTTGCTGCCTCTGTATTCCCAACACTGAGACTGTGGTCCTGTGCCAACTGCCTGGCTATCCAGTATTATAAAATACTCTGAAAGTGCACCAAAAGGTGACTCAAACACAGTCGCTGTGAAGTTTCTTTGTTAAATTGCTGCTAAGCTTTTAAAATAGGGCTAGAGAGATGACTCAGCAGTTAGGAGCACTTCCTGCCCTTCAGGAGGGCCTGCCTTTAGTTCCCAGTTCACGAGGTGGTTCACAAAGGCCTGCAACTTCAGTGCCACAGGATTGGACACCCCCTTCTGGCTCCTTTGGGCACCTGCACTCACATTCCATACCTACACCCATACACACCAGGACACTCACATATCCGGATTAGAAAAACAAAACAAAAACCTCCAAACTAGCCAGGAGTGATGGCGCATGCCTTGATCCCAGAATTTGGGAGGCAGAGGCAGGTGGAGCTCTGTGAGTTTGAGGCAACCCAGGCCTACATTGGGAGTTGCAGGTCACCCAGGGCTACATAGTGTGATCCTATATAGAAAACAAAGAATCTTTCTAAATATACTTAGTTTCTGAAATTTTCTCCATTTAGTGAGTATTAGCTATCAAAAAACATCAAACTTTGAATAATGTTATAATTTTTAAAAATTTATGTGTATGGATGTTTTACCTGCATGTATGTCTGTGTACATGTGTGCAGTGCCTGTAGAGACCAGAGGAGGGCGTCCGATCCACTGGAACTGGTGTCACAGACGGTTGTGAACTGCCATGTGGATGCTGGGACTCTAACTCTGGTCCTCTGGAAGAGAGCCGGCTCTCCAGCTGTAGTTGTTTCTTTATAGCTGGTTAGAGATACGGTAAACCATAAAGATTCTAACAGGATATGGGAGGGATGCACCTGCACTTAGGAGAAGGAAGGACTACAGGTTACAAAAACACTCGGAAGGCCAACAAGATGGCTTCCGGGGAATTTCTAGGACCCCTGTAAAGACTCTACAAAGTTGTTCTCTGACCATCTGCCCAAATCACGGTCATGCACATTCAATTATTTTTCCCCCAAAGGGTGGCTCAGAGAGTAAACTCTCAATGGTGGAGAGAACCAGTTCTTAAAAGTTGCCCTCTGACCTCTGTGTACCCCCCTCCTCTAAATAAATTTAAAGTAACTAAATTTTTAAAAAATTAGGGAAGACAACTTGAAAGAAAGTAAAAGACTTTTCCACTGGAGAATGCCAGTCAGAATGGCAAGGTGCTGGGTTGAGTTGGGGCCAGGGGAGAAAAAGGCAGATTCAAGATAGAACACAAAAGCCGTAGGATTGAGTGATTGATTGGTTCAGTAATATTCATCAGTCACCATCTTCAATCCGTTACAACTTTTGTTTTTCAAGACAGGGTTTCTCTGTGTAGCTTTGTAGACCATGCTGACCTTGAACTCACTGCCTCTGCCTCCTGAGTGCTGGGATCAAAAGCGTGTGCTACCAACGCCCAGCAATCCTTTACAATTCTTACATCCAAAAGACTGTGATGCATAACTGTTTTTCATACCTTACTTGGCAATAAAACCTAGTTCTGGGAGCTGGGAATACAGCTTCATGGTAGAGTACTTGCCTAGCTTGTAGAAGGCCCTCTTTTGGTCCCCAACATGGGAAAAAACAAAAAAGCAACCAAAACCAAGCCCATGTAATCTGTCTTTTTATGACCAAGAACCTGAACAAAATTGGCAGGAGGTACACTTTCGTTCATTCCCCTTTCATTTGTCCTAGCACTGCTATTCATATATATTATTACAGAAACTCCGATTGTGTTGTCCTGGATGGCATATGTACCATGTTATCCTTATAAATCCAAAAAAGTTCTCCAGCATATTTACCATCCATATTTTATACCCTATTTACTCTCCAGCCTTGGCCTAGGTTCTTTTGGCTATTTACGTACATCAGATAATGAATATTCATTATTGTAGCTTTTGCCATAGAAAATGCTGAAGGTGATTCTTGAAATGTCAGTGTTAAAAGAAAGATACAAGCCAGACTGTGGTAGCACACGCCTTTGATCCCAGCACTCTTGAGAGGCAGAGGCAGGTGGATCTGTGCGAGTTGAGGCCAGTCTGATCTACAAACAGAGTTCCAGAACAGCGAGGGCTACACAGAGACACCCTGTCTCGAAACAAAACAAAAGATATAGACTTCCTGGATCACTAACTTGAAATACAGCACTCACTTGGGTAGTGAAGTGTGACGTGCCATAGATAACTAGTCTTATCATACCTCATCTGCACTTTTTTTATTGTTATTTTTTTGATTTCTGGAGACGTGGTCTAAGTAACTGCCCGGCTGTCTTGAAACTCCCTCAGTAGACCAGGCTGAGATCCGCCTGCTTCTGCTTCTGGCTCTGGAATGCAGGAGTCGAAGGCATGTACCACCACTGCCAGGACCATCTGCACATTTCAATAGTGAGTGACCAGTGGTCTTATGTAATTAGTTCCCAAACCTGAAATTGGTTCACCTGTTTTTGCCATCAGTGAAAACAGAAGGCAAAGCTCACAAGTGAAAACAGAGAGGCCTGGCCTGGGAGTTGGGGGTAGAGATAAGAGTTTAAGGTCTTCCTTAGTTACAGAGGGAATTTGAGACCTACTTGGGACACATGAGACTTTGTATCCAAAAGAAAATAAAACCAAAAGCCATGCTGAAGAGATGGCTGAGTTGTTAGGAGGACTTGTTGCTACTTCAGAGGACCCAGACCCAGGTTTGGTTCCCAACACCTTAACAACTGTCCGTAACTTCAGTTCCAGAGGTCCACAACCCTTTCCTCATCTTCACAGGCATTACATGTATGTGGCACACAAACACACACACATGCAGGCAAAACAGCCACACACATTAAATAAAAATAAAATAAAGAGGGCTGGAGAGAAGCGCAGAGGTTAAGAGCACTGACTGCTCTTCCAGGGGACTTGGGTTCAATTCCCAGAAACCACATGGTGGCTCACAACTGTCTATAATGGGATTGTCGCCCTCTTGTGGCCTGAAGGCAGACATGCAGGCAGAACACTGTGTATGTGTGTGTGTGTAATAAATAAATTTTTAAAAATAAAGAAATCTAAGTGTGTGTATGCATATATAGTAAATAAATAAATCTCCAAAAATAAAATAAAATAAAGAAGAAATCTAAAGCCGGGTGTAGCGGAGCATGCCATCCCAGCACTCAGGAGGCAGGAGGATCTCTGTGAGTTCAAGGCCAGCCTGGTCTAAAATTGTGTTCCCCAACAACCAAGGCTGTTGTTACACAGAGAAACCCTGACTCGAAAAAAAAATGACCCCCCCCAATAAAAACACAAAAACAAATTAAGGGCCTGAAAGAGAACTAACGTGTGCCACGCTGGTGACACATACCTGTAATCCCAGTATTTGGCAGGCAAAGGAAGAAGGACCGCTGAAGGTTTGGTAAGTCTATACACGTTCCAGGACACCAGGGCCATATAGCCGGACCCCATGCTTTATTTCTGTGGCGCTGGTGATTGACACCCGGGCCTCGAGCATGGTCCAGCTACATCTCCAGTCAAAAAAGGGAACTACAATCAAATTACTGTGGGTGCCCTGTTTCTGTTCGTTCTGCAGGGCTGGGGATCGGCGTCGGGCCCTACGCGGGCTTCGCGAGCTCTGTCTTCCACGACCACTCTTCAGCGGGCGCCTGTGCCCCCCAAACCGTGCCACGCCCGGATGCCTGCACTCGGGTTGGAATCTTTTCTCCACGTTGGGGTAGGATGTCAGGCATTTTACCTTAAAAAATAATCGTCACGTCAGACCCTTGTTCGTAAAGAGTTTCCGTAGGCGCGCCTGTCATAAAAAGACGGACCTAGAAACGAAAGAAAAACCAGCAGGAACTCGGATGATTAGAGTTTCCATCTAAGGAAACGTGCGGACCAGGAGGGTCTCGCCCATTCTGACTTTCTATTGGGCCAGTTTGCCGTCAATCTCGCTGGTAAATAGACCGGGGAGACGGAAACAGGTTGGGTAAGGGGTGGGACCTTCCTGTTGCCTTTGCGGAGGGTTGGGGCTGTTAAGAGGCGTGGCTCCTAGGAGCGCGGGAGGCCGGCGCGCGCGAAGCCCCGCCTACTCCTCCGGGCGTAGGGGCGGGCCTCGCCGCCGATTGGCTGCCGGCGCTGCCTATCCGGAGCCAGCTGCTGCGGAGGGGCACGTGAGGAGGCGGCGGCGTGAGGCAACCATGGCGGGAGGAATCAAAGTGGCGGTGTGGTCGCCGGTTGCTCCGCGGCCCTGGTGCCGGGGGACCGGGGGCGGCGTGGCGGCGTGGCTGCTCCTAGTCGTCCTCGGCTGCGTGGTCTGCGGCTCAGGTACCGCTCGGGCAGCCGCTGCCTGGGGGGCGGGAGCGAGGGCGTTAATTTTGGAAAAGTGGGTTCATCCCGAGGGCGCGGCCCGTTACTCCGCCGAGCGGCGCGCCTTGCCGAGGGAGGGAGGGAGGCGGGCGCTGCGGGGGCCGTGGCTTATCCGGACCCTGCAGGGGCTGCGCGGTGCTGCCGGGTCCCCCGAGGCTCGGGTTAGGACGGAGGAGGTGTGGGCACCGTTTCTCCCTGAGACGTGTCTGAGGCAGTAAACGCTCCCTCATCCAGGCTAGTAAAGACACCCCGGAGAGACGTCCTGTCTCGGCACCGGGGAGTGGATTAAACTTCACTTGCAGGGTTTCTCGAGACCGGGTTTCTCTGTATTGTTTGGGAGGCTGTCTTGGAACTCACTCTGTAGACCAGGATGGCCTCAAATTCAGAGATCCACCTGCCTCTGCCTCCCGAGTGCTGGGATTAAAGACCTGGACCACCACCGGCCCGGGGACTACTGCTCTTACTAAGACCCTCCTCCCTAACAGCCCTGGAGTAGTTCTAGTTCAGTTGCCCAGAAAAGGTGGGGCCACCAGCTTTGAGTAGGACATCTTTCCGGAGTTTGTTCATTTCAAGCACATTCATTTTGTATCTGCTGCTAAGCAATCATCAACTCCGGGCTGGGTGGGAAACTATTTTGCGCTCCAGTTCAGAAAAATTAATGTTTGTTAGAAATAGATTACTCCCCCCCCCCTTTTTTTTACCCCCTTGTTAAATAGTGAGCGGGAAAAATAAGCGATGCTTGCAGACTTCCACTGGAGGGAGTATCGAATCCAGAAAATAATTCAGAGCTTATAAACCACAGGTTATGTGCTCATACCGCCCCCTTCCGTTCCTGCTTATTACATACTCTCGCTGTGGCTGTAGGATATGTTTAACACACCCACAAGATTCATTTTTGTTCAAAAGGGTCCAAAGATTTCTTTTTGCGAAGGGAGTAGGTATCCAGGAAACACTCTTTTGCAGATGCATGGCCTAGAAGCCACGAACAGTATTTGGGAGGATTATTACCTGAATGAACTTTTGAAATGGGCCTTGGGTTGGGAAGAAATAAGAAAATTTTAAGAACAGTCAGCAGGTCCCTTCTTTGAAGTTTCTTTTGGAGGATACCGGGGATTGAAACCTAAAGCAGAGAGGCAGGCATTGTGGCACCCCACTTTAGTCCCAGCACTCGGGAGGCCAAGGCAAGTTTGAGGCCAACTCGGCCTACATCGTGAGTTCGGGGACAACTGGCACTACCTAGTGAGACTCTGCCCCAAAACAAATAACCAGTAAGTGCAAAACTAAAGCAGACTTTTCTGCTTGCTTCCCTGTCCTTACCTTGTTTTAACTGAGGCAGGCTCTTACTGTGTTGGTGCTTTGGAACTCACTGTGTAGTCTTCCTGCCTTGTCCTCCAGAATGCTGGGGTTACAAGCACCACAACCAGGCTTCAAAGTTCTTTCTGGGAGGGGAGGCTCAGGGGCTTCTTCATTTGCAGAAAGGTAATCTCCAGGGACAGCTCGCTGACCCGATTGTGTGTGGGTTCAGCTATAAAGACAAACCGTGTAGCTTTCTAAAAGCCAGGTAATCCCAATGGTAGACTGGAGCTCTATTCAAAGGCTGGTTTCTTGTCACTGGAAACTTTGGCAACATTTAATTCTATGAGTAGCTTGTGTTTTAGACCATTTGGCAAGTATTATCAATACAGCTAGGTATAAAGGAGTAGGCAAACCCTTGCAGTTCATTGCCTTTGTGTGTGTTCTTATGTCTGAGTACATCCAGGAGCGTTGATGTGCACACGAGAGCATGTGTCTGCCAAAGGTTGGTATCTCTTGTCTATTTCAATCCCTGTCTACCCTGATTTTGAGACAGGCTCCCTCACTAGGCCTGGATCTTAGAGATTTGGATAGAGTGGCTGGCCAGCATTGGGATTATTGGTGCATGCCACTCAGGACACCTGGCTGTGTGTGGGACCTGTTCATCTGCACTCTGGTCCTTGTCCTACTGAGCCATCTCCCCAGCTTCAGACTGGAAAATTCTGAGGGTTCGTGTCCTTTGTTCATGGCCTCTTGTGAGTATTATATCTTAATGAGCCAGGCTTTCATAGCCCAAGTTACCCCTTTGTAACGAGAATGATTTTCATGCTTGATTCTCCTGTCTCTCACTCCCATGTGCTGGAATTATAAACATGTACACCTGCATGCCTACATATAAACTAGTAAAAAAATTTTTTGTGCTAGAAATCAAATTTAGGACTTGTACACATATCATACATGAGCTCTACCAAGCTTCACTACACCTCTAGCACTGTGATTTTTATTTGTAAAGATTTTTGTATAATTTCCAATTTCCAATTAAAAATTTTTCAGTTTATTTTCCTCCTTTAAAAAATTTTTATTGGGGTTTTTGTTTGTTTTGTTTTTTTGAGACAGGGTTTCTCAGTGTAGCCCTGGCTGTCCTGGAACTCACTCTGTAGACCAGACTTGGCCTTGATTGAACCCACAGAGATCTGCCTGCCTCTGCCTCCTGAGTGCTGGGATCAAAGGCGTGTGCCACCACTGCCCGGTTTTAATTGGGTTTATGTTTAAGTGTTTGTTTTTGCAACACTTGTGCTTGGTGCCTGCAGTAGTCAGAAGAGGGTGTCAGATGCCCTGGAGCTGTGGTTATTGATGGATAGATGAATGCAGGGAATAGAACCCTCTGCAAGAGCAATAAGTGCTCTTAACCACTGGTGAACCTTTCCAGCCTCTGCCCCCTCTTTTTCCTTTGTCTTTGTCTTTTTCTTTTTGGTCTTTTTTTTGTTCTGTTTTGTTTTTTCGAGACAGGGTTTCTCTGTATTGTTTTGGAGGCTGTCCTGGAACTAGCTATGTAGACCAGGCTGTCCTCGAACTCACAGAGATCCGCCTGCCTCTGCCTCCCGAGTGCTGGGATTAAAGGCGTGCGCCACCAACGCCCAGCAGGATGTGCACTTTTACATACATCATACATGTACACAATAATGATAGTAAGATAAAAAGTGATCTGTAAAGTTAATATTTCATTTTTGGATTTTGGAGGATAAATTTTAAATATTATTATTTTACTAATTATTATTATTAGTAAAACTGGGAATTGAACCTAGGGCCTCAAACGTTCAATGCTGGTGCTCTACCATTGAACTATAGTTCTAGTCCTTTTATTTTTGATTTATAACTTGTATTAGCATTTGGTGTGAGGTGAGGATCTGGATGGATTTTATTTTTTAAATAATGATTTGTCCCAGCTTGCAATTTAATAGTAATTTCCTAAACCCACTGATTGAAGATGGTAGGTTTTAAAACAATGAGGTGTGTTCTTCGGCAGGTTGACACGTGCGTAGTCTGTTCTGATTCCGTTATCCTCCCACACTCTGTAGCCCCCCTCAGCCCTTGCTTCTCCCTGTAAGTTCCTTTCCTGAACCAAGCATTCTTTTTGTCACTCACTGAGTTTAACGAGGGTTTTGGAGCATGGAAAGATGGCAATTTGGGGCCAGTGGGTTAAGGTGGATCCAGTGGGCCAGGTTAAGTTTTCATTTTATTTGGAGAAAGTTGTCCTCATCGTGGTAATCATGGAAGTGAGGTCTAGGGATAAAACTTCAGACTTGGTGGCAAGTGCCTGAACTTGCAGAACTATCTTACTGGATATCTCTTTAAGATATTTGAGAATTTACTTTCTTTAATTGTTTTCTGTGTATGGGTGTGTGTTGCATATATGTCTGTGTACCATGTGCATGCCTGGTACCCATTGAGGCCAGAGCAGGGCATCAGATTTCCCTAGAACTGAAGTTACAGGTGGTTAATATGCTACCATGTGGGTTCTGGGGTCCTCTGGGAGAGCAGCTAGTGCTATTAACTGCTGAGCCATCTCTCCAACACTCATTGTACAACTTTGTTTATTTTGAGGCAGGGTCTTACTATGTAACCTTGGCTGGCCTGGCGCTTGCTATGTAGACTAGGTTAGTTTCAGCCTCACAAGAGATCCACCGTTTCTGCCTCCTGAGTGCTGGGATTAAAGGAGTGTAACACTATGCACTGCTCCACTGTAGACTTTTAAAGTTAAAGTTATTTTTCCTGACATTAAGTTTTTCAAATGGCTGGTATTATCAGCACATTATTTGTTATCTCACTGCCCACTTAATAATAATAATGGGCTTTAAAAGGTGAGAGGATAGTTGCTAGTAAGTGTATATTGGTTTGTGGATGGATGTTTTTACTTGAAGTTTTGTAAGTAGACTGCACTTTGCTTTAAGGAAGCGATGGATCCTTGTTTGACTTGTGTGTAGTGTGTGTGTACATGTGTTCATGTGGAGGCCAGGGGCCAATATCACATTCAGTTACTCTCCACCTTTTTTCTTTTTTCTTTTTGACACAGGGTGTCTCTGTTATATGTTATGTAGTCCTGGCTGTCCTGGACCTCACTGTGTAGACCTGGCAGGCCTCAAATACAGAGATCCACCAGCCTGTGCCTCCCAAGTGCTGAGATTAAAGTTATGTGACCATTCCTGGCTCTACCTTACTTTTTGAGACAGGGTCTTTTGCTGAAAATGGAGCTCACGGGTTCAGCTGAACCCGTGAGCTGATAGAGTGCTGGGGTTACAGATGTGTGCTGTCTGTCATGCCTGGCTCTGTGTGCTGTGCACCGGCGCTTGGTATGTGCATGTCGTGGCGTTTGTGTGGAGGTCAGAGGACAGTCTTGGGTGCTCGTCCTTCACCTTCCTGCCACCTTGTTTGAAACCAGATCTCAGTTACTGCTGCTTACTTGCAGAGGCCACAGTCTGACAGGGATTCCGTCTCCAACTCCTTCTTGCTCGGGAGCACTGGGGTTACAGATGTGTGCTGCTGTGCTTGCTGATTTCTGTGTTCTGGACCATGAACTCAGCTCCATGGGTGGCAAATGCTTTACCCACTCAAAGCTAGTCTTAGTTTGCAGTAAGGATGTTTCTCAGTGGTAGAGTTGCCTAGCAACTTTGTAGCAATGTACATTGCCTTGCATATGTACAAAGAAAACCTGTGACTTAGCAATGAAAAAAAAAATTAGTCTTAGTTTCACTTGAAACCATTTTGGCCAGCAAGATGGCCCAGTGGGTAAAGGTGCTGGCCCTTTAAGTGTAGGTTCAGTCCCTAAGAGCTATATGGTGGGTGAAGAGAACTGACTCCCACAAGTTGTCCTCTGGCCTCTACACTATGGCAGTCTCCCCCACTAGAGTAAGTAAATAAAATATAATAAGACAATTATTTTTTTAAAAAGCTTTTATCTTGGTGGGCTTTTATCCTTTTTGTTTTTTTTGGGGGGGGGGACAGGGTTTGTCTGTGTAGCATTGGCTGTCCTGGAACTTGCTCTGTAGTTTATGTTGTTGGCCCCACACACAGAGATTTCCCCTGCCTCTGCCTCCCGAGTGCTGAGATTAAAGGTGTGTGCCACCACTGCCTGGGAAAAAAACAAAAAACAAAATATTTTTGTAAAGTTCCTCATGATACAGAGTATCAATGAAGAAAGAGTTAGAGGTACTAAGTTATTAAATGTTTGTGTCAAAGAAGATAGGCTTCCAGAAACGTGGGGGAGAGTGGTTTTCTCAAGTCGTGAATTACTGAGAATGATTAGAAACAGGCAGAGTCTTGTAGTTTGAATCCAAGGGGTGATGACCACCATTGACTGCTCTTCAAACAGCAGCCTGCGGTCCTTCAGTGCCCACTTCACTGGCTCTTAAAACTCCGCAAAGCCTCTGCCAGTTCTGGCCATACTACTCAGAAAAGGGGTGGAGAGAAGCAACACGTTACCGTGTCCTAAGAGAAGAAGGGTGTTCGTGGTCAAGGTGGGGGCTGGGCTTGCATGGGAAAGTCACAGACTGATCACTAGCTGAGTGACCTTGGAAATTAACTTTCCTTAGACATCAGAGTCCTTGTTTGTAAAATAGAGATTATGAAATGGCTACACAGTGGTGTTGTTAGGAGGCTTAAGTGAGGCAAGCAGCACTCTCTGAAGAAACACTTAAAAATAGTTCTTAAGGGCTGGAGAGATGGTCAGCAAAGTGGTCAGTTTAGTTCTTTTTATAACATGAGTTATAATTATGAGCTTGCTCTGTCATGTTCTACTTAATTCTTGTTTCCTTTTTTTTCTTCATAAAGCTGGAATTGATGTAAATGTGGTCATGCTTCAGGAGTCTCAAGTTGATATGAATTCCAGTCAACAATTCTGTTACAAAAATGTGCTTATCCCAAAGTGGTATGATATCTGGACACGGATACAGGTAATTGGAAGCCCTACCCGTGGTGTGTCAGCTTCCTTTCCCGGCTTAGAGAACTGTGATCCTGCAGGAAACGTTTTCCCTCTTTCTTCTCTGCTTCCTCCCTTCTGAGGTGTGCACACTCATGCCTCTTTTGAAATGCCCTGTGCCTTCTTTGGGCTGGATTCTGGTGTGCATGTCTGAATGTAAACTCTTGTCTTGCGGTTCCCGTTCTGTTTTGATTCTGTGAGAGGTTTCCTCTGGGTAGAATGACTTTGGTCTCCTTTATTTCATAACACTGTCAAGAAGAGTTTCTGGCTGTAGTGGTGATTGAACAGAAAGAGCCCTTTGGAGGTTTGCAGTGAATATGCAGTAAACACAGACACTGATGAGGGTATTCACTGTTCACGTCAGCACATGAGAGGATACAAAATTCATACTGTATCTGGGGCACATTATAACCAATGTTTATCCATAATCAGTGATCTGTGACAATGCGTTGAACTTCTCAGCCTGTCATTATGGGAACATTTTCAATTCTCTGGGGCTGTTTATGACTGGCAGTTTTCTTAGTGTTTCAGGCCCTTGCTTTGTGTGATGGCACAAATAGCTGTATTGATGCTCTGTCTGCTGGGGACCCCCTTTCTGGCCTGAATAGTGATTCAGGCCATGTAATAAGAAACTAGCAGCTGCCTCTATTAGAGCAGCAGCATTTTTCCAGTAAGGGTGTTTTGAAAATTATGTTTATGAAAATTCCCTACTTTTTCATCCTAATTTCATTTGTGTTACAGGTCCGGGTAAATAGTTCCAAATTGGTCCGTGTCACCCAGGTGGACAATGAGGAGAAGCTGAAGGAGCTAGAGCAGTTTAGTGTCTGGAACTTTTTTTCTTCTTTTTTAAAAGAGAAATTGAATGACACCTATGTTAACGTGGGTCTATACAGCACAAAAACCTGCCTCAAAGTTGAGATTATAGAGAAGGACACCAAATACAGTGTCATTGTGACCCGGAGTAAGTCTGACCTCTGTTTTTCTGATGGATTCTATGATGAGCTGGGACAGAGCTTTGGAGGGCATAGTTACTGAAACAGAGAAGGCAGTCCAAGACAACTCCATTTTGCTTTTCATTACTGTCTTGACTGTACCATGGCTCTAGACAGCTTATGGAGACTCCACCACACACATTATTCTTTAGGCCCAGAATAATGAAGGGTCTAGCTCAATAGTAACGCCTTCCCAGGCCCTGAGCTGATCAGTCAGCACTACGGAGTCTGTCAGACAGCTGTGTCTGTGCCTTTTGGAGAAGACAGGAAAAGTGAACGGTAAAATTAGTAGTTCATAATTAGAGCTGAAGACACTATAGTTGAAGGCTTATATTCTGGACGTGGAGAAGTTTTCCTTCTCTGAAGGCTTCTGAGAGTTTTAAAGGAGGCAGAGTCCATCAGATCTTGGTTGGTTTCTCCTTGGTTACTACTCAGGATTCAGGCTTGTAGGTTTTGCTACCAAAGGTTATGCCCTTCCAGTGGTCCTACAGTCGGGTTCTATGGTTATGTATGGTGTTGTGGAATATTATTTTTGATACCTTTTTTGTTTTGTTGTTTTTCGAGACAGGGTTTCTCCGAAGCTTTGGAGCCTGCCTTGGAGCTCACTGTAGACCAGGCTAGCCTTGAACTCACAGAGATCCACCTGCCTCGGCCTCCCAAGTGCTTGGATTAGAGGCATGCGTCACCACTGCCCAGCTATGGAGTATTATTTTAACCAGGCAAAGATGTGTTACATTAGTTTATGCTACAGAATATACTTTAACTGTGTAAAGGTGTGTTACCTTTGTTTATGCTGCATTTGTTTAATTAAGTAAAGATGTGTTGCATGTTTTACCTTGTCTGCCTAAGGCAGATGATTGATCTAATAAAGAGCTGAATGACTGAAAAGAAAAAGCCTGACGGGACAGGAGAGATGGCTCACAGGTTAAGAGCACTGACTGCTCTTCCAGAGGTCCTGAGTTCAATTCCCAGCAACCACATGGTGGCTCACAACCATCCATAATGAGATCTGGTGCCCTCTGCTGGCGTGCAGACATACATGGAGGCAAGATGTTGTATTCATAATAAATAAATAAATCTTTTTTTTTTTAAAGAGAGAAAGCCTGAGCCAGTTGGTGGTGGCACACACCTTTAATCTTAGCACTTGGGAGGCAGAGGCAGGTGGATCTATGTGAGCTCGAGGCCAGCCTAGTTTACAGAGCAAGTTTCCAGGATAACCAGAGCTACACAGAGAAACCCTGTCTTGAAAAAAAAAAGAAAAGAAAAGGCCTGGTACATTTGACTACTAACCAGCCTATATTTCTAATATCCTAAATGGTTTATAATAATATCTTTCAAGGACTAGAATTTTACATTTTTAAATGAACTGCATAGGTACAATACCTTAAATAAGAGTATAAGTACATAGACAGTATGTTGTAACAAAAATAACCTTATACTTGTGTCGATAAACAAAAGTTCATACCAATGTAAAATATTTGAGATTAATAGTTTTTAGTCTAAAAGCAGATTTGCTAATCTACCTCCTACCTCCATAACCCCCTTTTTCTTTTCAGAAGAGTTCCTTGAGTCAAACCATCCTTACTCAGTTTCCTCCCTTGGCATGGCCAGTAGCAATTTGACAAATGTACCATTCAGCTCTATATTAGACCAATCAGGTGCCTTAGGCAGGCAAAGTGAATCAGCAACACATTTTTACATAAGTAAATTCAGCACAAACAAAAGTAACACACCTTTACACAGTTAAAGTAATATTCTGCAGCATAAACTAATGTAACACATCTTGGCCTGGTTAAAATGATACTCCACAACGGTAGAGCTGGCCTGTGTTTTGGTGTTCCTTTAGTATTTCATTATCCTGCCAGCTCCAGTCTGTTTCTGGCCTGCCTTAGCCTTGGCTTTTGAATGTCAAAGCCATGGAATGCTCTGGGGTGCCACCAGCGTGTCTCTGCCTGGGCCTGGGTGAGAGAGAGACATTTGTCAGCACAGCGCTGTATCGAGAAGCAAAGTATGAGGTGTGGTTGGGCAAGAAGAATTGCATGGAGGACATGAGGCCACACCCAAGTGCCCCGACTGACTTAAGGCAGAGAGATACCCATTGTCAGCAAGTGTGTTGAGGTGATGATGGCATCATGTTTAGCTTAGTCCAGCTTTTTTTTTTAAAGCCTTAGTAGAGAAAGCCAAAGTAAGAGTAAGATATTCAGGAAGGTCCACACTAGACAGAAACCTATTACATTCCTCTTTGGAAGGAGGCCCAGGGTTTGTGTGGTATCTATACTGCCATTTTACTGTAGTTGACCAGTAATACTAATGTCACCTTTTATACCTTTAATTAGTTCTTCTATTAAGCAAAATTTTCATTTGTTTTAGGATTTGACCCCAAATTCTTCCTTATTTTTCTCCTTGGACTTACATTATTTTTTTGTGGAGACTTGTTGAGCAGGTAAGTGTGGACTTGATAAGATACTAACACTGTTTGACTTTTGTCATAAGAATTTTAAGTACTACTACAATTCCCTTTTCCAGGGTCTGTGTGGCTTAGATGCCTGCCTGAATGTTTTTAGATTTATTTATTTGTTTTGAGATAGGATATGTAGTGCTGGCTGGCCTAGAACTCAGTATGTAGACCAGACTGGCCACAAACTTCAGCTGCCTCTGCCTCCAAAGTGATGGGATTAAAGATGTGCACCATTAGGCCCAGTTTTTTTGTTTTAAATATGTATCCATGTGTCTCTGCCTGTGTGTATGGTGCCTGCAGAGGCCAAAAGAGGGCATTGGATCCCCTGGACCACTTATAGGTGATTGTGAATCATCCAGCCTGATGCTGGGGACAGAACTCAGGTCTTCTGGAAGAGCGAGCAGCAAGCTCTTGAAAGAGTCCTGCCACCCCTCTGGCACTGCTTGGGTATTTTAAAGGTAGACTTCTTTTCCTGATTCGAATATGATTGTTAATTAATGCACTTTCTCATTAGATAGTTCCATCATTAGGTTAATGAGTTACCTAGTGCTATAAAGTTGATTATGAAATTAGAAGTAATGTTATTGTAGAGATTTATATAATGAAATTGCTGCCAAATTATACACTGATAGACTTCATGCTGCCCAGATATAAGACAAATATCAATTACTTGTCCTTTTTCTATTTTTAGAAACCTACTAGCTGTGACAGGTAAAACTGATGTGCGTTAATGTAAAGGCCCGTTCACTGAGATGAAACTCTTATCCAGTACTGCTAAAGCAGTCAAGAACCTGAGACTAGATAAGTCATAGGCCCTAGGGGAAAACCTAGTGTTGCTCTGCTAAAAGGACACAGTAGTCAAATGACTCCTGGTAACATGCTGCTGTACTGTTGATCAGTGCCTCATTCGGCCCAGAGAAGTTTCCTCTGCAGCACATGATAATTACCAGAGACCCACACAGAAGAGAGATTGTGCAGCACTTATCCCTAAACAGGGATCCATGTAGGAGAGGAGGTGAGATTGTAAGAGCCAGAGGTGGACGACTCCAAGATGCAGTGGGCTGATGGCAGTATTAGCCCATACTGTTGCTTTTACTCTTTGCTCTTTGGCTCTCTTTGAGGGCCCACAACCCAACTCCCAAATCATGGCTTGGAGGCTTATTCCTACTTATGAACGCCTAGCCTTAGCTTGGCTTATTTCATGCCTTTCTTTCTCTCTCTCTCTCTCTCTCTCTCTCTCTCTCTCTCTCTCTCTCTCTCTCTCTCTCTCTCTCTCTGTCTTTCTCTCTCTCTTCCTTCCTTCCTTCCTTCCTTCCTTCCTTCCTTCCTTCCTTCCTTCCTTCCTTCCTTCCTTCCTTTCTTTCTTTCTGGTTTTTCAAGACAGGGTTTCTCTGTAGCTTTGGAGGCTGTCCTGGAACTAACTTTTGTAGACCAAGTTGGTCTCGAACTCACAGAGATCCACTTGCCTCCCGAGTGCTGGGATTAAAGGCAAGCGCCATCAATGCCCAACTCACCAGTATTTCTTAACCTAAATTATCCTGTCTACCTTTTGCCTTTGGGCTTTTCATTTTCTTCCATAAATCTTACTTTCACTCTTACTCTGTGTGTGGCTGGCCCCTGACATCCTCCTCTCCTGTTCTCTGTTCCTTTTTTGTTCTTACAGATTTCTCCTTCTATTTGTACTCTCTGCCTGGCAGCCCTGCCTAGCCTTTCTCCTGCCTTGCTATTGGCCATTCAGCTCTTTATTAGACTATCAGGTGTTTTAGACAGGATCACAGCTTCACAGAGTTAAACAAATGCACCGTAAATAAAAGCAGCATTCTTTACCTCATTAAACAGATGTTCCAGAGCATAAACATATGTAACACACCGTAAAATAATATTCTACAGCACCATACAAATTCAAACCACTCCCAATCCCAACACTGAGAAGGGGAAATGGATGAGTTCCACTCCTGACCAGAAACTAGTTGCAATTTACTCCTGCTGGGAAAGGGAAAAATCCATTTTCTCTAATGCAGGGTCCCTGGGTGTCCTGGGTGTAGCATCCACACTTCTCAGGACAGGTTTCATGCCAAGAAGTGGTTGGCCAACACAAAGAGAACCCTTTGAGGTGTTTTTGTTTGTTTTTTTTTGGGGGGGTTGGTACACTTTTTGTTTTGGTATTTTTGTATGAAAAAGATTTAAATAAATATATAGATAAGTAAATATTGAGTGAAAGGGTAAACAAGAGAGAAGTTATTCTTTATTTTGGGGCTCCTGAGGGAAACTCGGATTCAGGGTGAAGTAACTGATAGAGCTTGGAATGGTAGTAGGATCTCCGACTGTCTTGGGTAGTCTGCTCCATTCACTTTCCAGTCTCTACTTGGGCTTACTCCTGTCCCTTCTCTCTCCACAGACAAGCTGTTTAGTACCTCAGAAGAGTTATTTTTTCTTTTAAATTTTCTTTTAAAAATGTTTTTATTAGCATATACTAGTTGTATATAAGGATGGGCTACATTATTGACATGCCCATACATGTACATAATTAATTTTGATCATGTTTACCCCAGTACCCAACTATCCATGCTTTTTTTTAAAATTTTTAATTCTTCTCTCATATATTGCATCCATTGTGGTTTTCCCCTCCCTCCTCTCCTCCCAGTCCCCTCCATATCCTTTTTCTCCCAATCAACTTCTCCTTTTCCTTCAGAAAAGGGTGGGCCTCTTTAGGGATGTCAACCAATGATGGCCTGTCAGGGTATAATAAGACTATGCAACTCCCCCCATATCAAGGCTGGACAGGGCAACCCAGTAGGAGGAAAAGGGTCCCAAAAGCAGGCAAATGAGCCAGAGACAGTCCCCATGCCCACAAGAAGATCAAGCTACACAAACATACATGTATACAGAGGATGTATCTCAGATCCATACAGACACCTTGATTGTCCGTTGAGTCTCTGTGAGCCCCTAATAGTCCTGGTTAGTTGATTCTGTTGGCTGTTTTCTTGTGATATCCTTAACCCCTCTGGATCCTACAATCCCTCTTGCAATATTCCCCCAAGCCCTGCCTAATGTTTGGCTGTGTGTCTCTGCATCTTCCCTCAGTTGCTGGATAAAGCCTCTCTGATGATGATTATGCAAGGTTGGGGTCTACAAGTGTCGCGTAATATCATTAGGAATCATTTCACTGACTGTTTACTTATTTGTTCATCTATTATGTTTGGCTCTATCCTTGGTCTCTGGGTTGTTCAGACTCTATAGTTCCTGGCCTCCCAGGCAGTATCTGACTGGGCTCCCTCTTGTGGTGTGGGATTCAATTTGGACTCGTTATTGGTTGGGTACTTCCACAAGTTCTGTGCCACTTTTATCCCTGTACATCTTGCAAAATGCATTCCAGTCATCTCTCAGCACTCTTCCCCCCCAACCCATCATGTTCCATCTTACACCTGTCAGAATGGCAAAGATAAAAAACACAAGTGATGGGGCTGGAGAGATGACTCAGAGGTTAAGAGCATTGACTGGCTGCTCTTCCAGAGGTCCTGAGTTCAATTCCCAGCAACCACATGATGGCTCATAACCATCAGTAATGAGATCTGGTGCCCTCTTCCGGTATAGATGAAAACAAAGCACTCATATACATAAAGTAAACAAATATTTTTAAAAAAACACAAGTGATAGTTGATGTTGGCGGAGATGTGGAGCAAGGAGAACATTCCTCCTTTGCTGGTGGGAGTGCAAACTTGTACAGCCACTATGGATTTACATCTGGGTCTTAATGAATTCGATCACATTGATCATCTTGTCTGTTTTTATGCTAATACCATGCGGTTTTTATTCTGTAGCTCTGTAGTACAGCTTGAAATCAGGATGGTGATGCCTCCAGCAGTTCCTTTATTGTACAGGATTCTTTTAGCTATCCTGGATTTCTTGTTTTTCCATATGAAATTGAGTATTCTTTCAAGTTCTGTAAAGAATTTTGTTGGTGATGGTGTTGAATCTGTAGATTCCTTTTGATAAGACAGCCATTTTTACTATGTTAATTCTACAGACCCATGAGCATGAGAAATCTTTATCTTATGATATCATCTTCAAAGACTTGAAGTTCTTGTCATACAGGTCTTTCATTTGCTTGGCTAGTTACCTCAAGATATCATATATATATATATATATATATATATATATATATAATTTTTTTTTTTTTTGGTTTTACGAGACAGGGTTTCTCTGTACTGTTTTGGAGGCTGTCGGTCCAGCCCGGCCTCGAACTCACAGAGATCCAACTGCCTCTGCCTCCCGAGTGCTGGGATTAAAGGCGTGCGCCACCACCGCCCGGCTCAAGATATCTTATATTACATGTAGCTATTGTGATGGGTGGCATTTCCCTGATTTCTTTCTTGGTCCATTTGTCATTTGTATATAGGAGGCTTACTGTTTTTTGTTTTTGAGTTAATCTTGTACCAGGAATTCCCTGGTAGAATTTTTGGGGTTGCTTAAGTATATTGGCATATCACCTACAAATATCGATACTTTGACTTTCCAATTTATATCCCCTTGATCTCCTTTTGTTGTCTTATTGCTATAGATAGAACTTCTAAGTGCTATATTGAGAAGATATGGAGAGAGTGGACAGCCTTGTCTTGTTCATTAATTTAATGGAATTACTTTGAGTTTCTCCCTTCAATTTGATATTGGCTCTAGGCTTGCTGTAAATTGCCTTTATATTTAGGTATGTTCCTTGAATCCCTGATCTCTCCAAGACTTGTATCATGAAGGAGTGTTGGATTTTGTCAAGGCTTTTAGCATCTGATGAGATGATCATATTTTTTCTCCTTTCAGTTTGTTTATGTGATGGGTTACATTGATGGATTTTCACATGTTGAACCATCCTGCATCTCTAGGATGAAGCCTCCTTGATCATGGTATCATGGTGGGTGATCTTTTTGATGTGTTCTTGGATTCGGTTTGCAAGTGGTTTTTTTTTTTTTTTTTTTTCCGAGTCAGGCTTTCTCTGTATTACTTTGGAGCCTGGGAGCCTGTCCTAGAACTTGCTCTGTAGAGCAGACTGGCTTCGAACTCACAGAGATCTGCCTGCCTCTGCCTCCCGAGTGCTGGGATTAAAGGCAACGTCTAGCACAAGTATTTTATTGAGTATTTTTACATTAATAATAATGAGGGAAATTTGTTTGTAATTCTCTTTCTTGAATCTTTGTGGTTTGGGTATCCTAGTGACTGTGGCCTCATAAAATGAATTTGTCAGTATTCTTTGTTTCTGTTTTGTGGAATAATCTGAGGAATATTGGTATTAACTCTTTGAAAGTCTGGTATTAACTCTTTGAAAGTTCTGTGCTAAAACTGTCTGGCCTGGTCTTCTTTTGAATAGGAGAGTTTAACCCCCTCTCCTAAAGGGTTAGAGGTCTATTTAAATTGTTTATCTAATCTTGATTTAACTTTGGTAAGTGGTATCTATCCAGAAAATTGTCTATTTCTTTTAGATTTTCCAATTTTGTGGAATACAGATTTTTGAAATACAATCTAATGATTGTTTGAATTCCCTTGGTATCTATTATGTCCCCCTTTTCATTTCTGATTTTGTTAATTTGGGTATTTTAGTTTTTATAAAGGTTTGTTTATCTTGCTGATTTTTTTTTCAAAGAACCAACTTTTTGTTTCATTGATCCTTTGTATTGTTCTCTTTGTTTCTATTTTACTGATTTCAGCCCTCAGTTTGATTTCCTGGCATCTACTCCTCTTAGGTATGTTTACTTCTTTTTGTTCTAGAGCTTTCAGGTGTGCTGTTAAGTTGCTAGTATGCACTCTCTCCAGTTTCTTTTGAAGGCACTTAGTGCTATGAACTTTTGCTCTTAGCATTGCTTTCATTGCGTCCCATAAATTTGGGTATTTTGTGCATTCATTTTCATTGAATTCTGGGAAGTCTTTAATTTCCTTATTTCTGCCTTGATCCAGTGATCATTCAGTAGAGAGTTGTTATGTTTCCATCAGTTTGTAGGCTTTCTGTTGTTGAAATCTGGCTTTAAATGATGGTGGTCAGCTAGGATACCAGGAGTTACTGCAATTTTTTCACGTCTGTTTAGACTTGCTTTGTGACAGAGTATGTGGTTGATTTTGGAGAATGTTCCATGGGGTACTGAGAGGAAAGTGCATTCTTTTGTGTTCTGGTGATATCTGTTAGTTCCATTTGGTTCACAATGTCTGTTAGCTCCAGTGTTTGCTTGGATAACCTGTCTATTGGTGAGAATGGAGTATTAAAGTCTCCCACTATCAATGTGTTAAGCGTTGATGAATGAATTAAGCTTTAATAGTATTTCCTTTATAAACATGGGTGTTCTTGTGTTTGGGGCATAGATGTTGAGAATTGAGATGTCATCTTGGCAGAATTTTCCTTTGAGTATGAGGTGTCCTTTTTGTCTCTTTTGATTAACTTTGTTTTGAATTCTATTTTGTTAGATGTTAGAATGGCTACACCAGCTTGAAAAATCTTTTTCCAATCCTTTACTCTGAAGTAATGTCTATCTTTGGTGCTGAGGGATGTTTCTTGTATGCAGTAGAAGTATGGATCCTGTTTTTGTATCCATTATATTGATACTGAGAGAGATCAATGACTGGTGATTATTAATTCCTGTTGTTGTTGTTGTTGGGGTGAGAGAGAGAGATGGTGCCTGCATGGCTAGCAAGTCTAACATCGGGAAATGAAAGACAAGACATTGGGCCTTTTGTGCTAAGAGGATGCGTGTGTGCATGCCTGTGTGTCTCTTTATTGCTAGAAGGGAGCAGCCTCATATACAGACTTACAGCACAGTGGAGAAACCCCAGGTGTAATAGTCCGTGTTTTCCTCTTGCTAGATGTTGATGCCAGTGGGGCAAGGCCAGGCTGAAGCCAGGACTAGAGAACAGGATGCAGCTGTGGCTATCGGCTGACAAATGCACAGAGGTCCATGGGGGGTGGGGCCCAACAGAGAGAAAGAGATTTTTTTCTCTGTGGCTTTGGAGGCTGCCCTGGAACTAGCTCTTGTAGACAAGGCTTGTCTCAGACTCACAGAGATCCGCTTGCCTCTGCCTCTGCCTCTGCCTCTGCCTCTGCCTCCTGAGTACTGGGATTAAAGGTGTGCGCCACCACCGCCTGGCTGAGAGATTATTTATTGCCTGTAATTGTTATGTAGTTAACCTCTTTGGCCTGAATTTGTAGGTAGGTACTGATTAAATTTGACTTTATCCTAGAATAACTTGTGTTCTCCATCTATGATGATTGAAAGTTTTGCTGGGTATAGTAGTCTGGGCTGGCGTCTGTGTTTTCTTAGTGTCTACAGGATATCTGTCTAGGCCATTCTGGCTCTTAGAATCCCTGTTGAGAAGATGTGGCTCAGGGACTTTCTTTTCTGGGCCAATCTATTTGGTTTTCTGTGAGCTTTTTATACCTTTTATAGGCATCTCCTTCTTTAGGTTAGAAAAATTTTCTTCTATGATTTTATTAAAAATATTTTCTGGGGCTGGAGGTTAAGAACACTGATTGCTCTTCCAGAGGTCCTGAGTTCAATTTCTAGCAACCACATGGTGGCTCACAACCATCTGTAATGAGATCTGGTGCTCTCTTCTGGCGTGCAGACATACATGGAGGCAAGATGTTATATTCATAATAAAAATATTTTTTGGGTCCCAGAGAAACCCTGTCTCAAAAAACAAAAAAAAAATTTTTTCTGGGGCTTTGATGTGGGATTCTACTCCTTCTATTCCCATTATTCTTAGGTTTAGTCTTTTCATTGTATCCCAGATATCCTGGATGTTCCACATGGGCACCTTACCAGTGGCTTCACCAGTGAACACCATGTCTCTCCCTCTTCCATTGCCCACTAGCTGTGTGAGTTCTTGGAGGGGCATGGGACATGGTGGCCCTTGAGAGGCTGGGGGATCTCTGTGAATTTGAGGCCATCCAGGTCTGCACATTGAGTTCCAGGACAGCCAGAGCTACGTAGACCATCTCAAAACCCTGAAATCTAAAAAATAAGTGCAACATGTATGTCACACATACCTGGTGTCTGGGTTCATTCCTTTCCTCCTCCTTCCATCACTTGCATTCTCTGAACCCCTTGTTTCACGATGTTCTCTGAGCCTTGGAGGGGATGATACCACTTATGACTGGGCATTCAAAAGTCCTTTATTCTTGTTTTTTTGACCAGTTATGAATCTTTGCAGTCATCATTGACCACGAGACAGAGCCTTCTCAGATCAGAGGGTGATTTGATGGATACATTGTATCTGTTTAGCAAGACAACAGCCTAGCTCTCAGGCTTGAGCCTACAAACTCCCAGCCATGGCTTTTGGTGGAGTTTACAGTAGTAGACAAGAGTTCTTTTCTGTGAAATGGGCATCACGCCCAGCCCAAAAGTGGCTGGTTCCTCCTACCACAGATTTTCGGTGGACTGTTGCAGTGTGCCCTTCTTGTCTGAGGTCCACAGCTGGGTGAAATTGTCGGTGGGGTTCTCCCCTGGCGTCCTGCGCAGCCCATTGAGGCACTGTGGGGCCTACCCAGCAGGCACAAGGAGGCCTCCAGCCAAGTGCCAGCTTGGTTTTTCTGTGCCCCATGTCTGTACCGTGTGGTGGACTTGGAGAGAGATAGGGATGGGAGTGAGGTGTGAGAGGGCCTTCATAGCCTATCAACAGCTGCATCAGCCTGCAGTTCTGTGATTTTAAGGAGTGGGCAGATTCCTTCTCTAGCTGCTGTTTGCAACTTCACTATGTCACTTGTTCTGTTTGATCAGTGCTTTATATGGCCTACAGTATTACATAGTCAAGAAAAATGCTTTCTCCGCAGGAGCCAGATTTTCTACTATTCCACTGGAGTGAGCGTGGGAATTGTGGCCTCACTATTAATCATCATTTTTATGCTCTCCAAATTCATGCCCAAGGTAAGTGGCCCAGCTCCTCCTGAGTATTTAGGATAAGCGTGGGCAGCTGGAGGATTGTCTTGCAGTCTTAACACTGGACATTTGCATTGTGGCTGATGTGAGTCAGCGTCTGTCCTGTCTTTGATTCTGACCTTGAGCTTACAGACTCTTTATTTGAAACCATATACTCAGTGGGAACTGAGATCCACTTTTTGTTTTCTGATTGCACACTTAGGCCTTCCAGTTATTAGCATCTCATCTTCCTGGTGTTCCTTGCAGACTGTACCTTTTTAAGAGAAATGTTTTTATGCATTTTGAGTAGGTTGAGTTTTTTTTAAAAAATGTTCCCTTTTGCTTCTTTTATAAAGTCTTAAACTTTTGCTTTCATTTCTGCTTTGTCTAGAGAAGTCCCGTTTACATCATCTTGGTTGGAGGCTGGTCCTTTTCTCTGTACCTCATTCAGCTAGTTTTTAAGAATTTACAAGAGATATGGAGGTGTTACTGGCATTATCTCCTAGGTAAGTATTGTTGGCTTGGCTTTTCTTTATAAACTATTTGGTTAATTTGATTGTGAGAAGATGTTGCCTGCCAACAAGGAGCGCTAACTTGTAATTTTAATTTCCTACTTATTTCTAATCATCTTTTAAATTTAGATGCTGGTGATAAGAATATAACTTTAATTTGCTGGTGTTTATTTCTACATTAAGCAAAATTTAAAAACCTTAAACTGGCTTTATTAATGTTAGTTTAAATCTGCTTGGGGACCTTGAGAAGTAAGACTGCTGTGAATCTTGTATACAGTAAGAATCCTTTTAAAAAATATCCTTTGGTCACACAGAGACATTTTCTTCTTGATAGGAACTTAATTTATTATTTGAGAACATTAATGTGGATTTTTTTATTATTAGTAGTATGTATACAGTCTTCTTTCTGCATGCCAGCAGAGGGCACCAGATCTTACTTAAGGTGGTTGTGAGCCACCATGTGGTTGCTGGGAATTGAACTCAGGACCTCTGGAAGAGCAGCCAGTGCTCCCAACCTCTGAGCCATCTCTCCAGCCCAAAAGGTTTGGTTTTTAATTACGCACATGCACATAACACATTTGGGGTGCTGTGAGCACTGGTACCTGTAGGTAGTGTCAGCCTCTGGAGAGGCCTGTGCTCTTGTGAGCTGCACTTGGGTCCTCTGAGAGCACGGATCTCTAACCTCTGAGCCATCTCCAGCCAGTACATTTGTGACAGAAAGATAAGAGTGATCCGTATGCATGTGAAATGGGTAAAGACTAGAGCACAGCTCCTGTGTGGTCTCCTGGTTCAGTAGATGCCACTTCCCACATACTAGCTGAAGAAGAGTGTCTTGTGCTGACTCTTCCTAGGCTACATCCTCACCGTTGGATTCATGAGTTTTGCTGTGTGCTACAAGTATGGGCCCTTGGAGAATGAGCGCAGCATCAACCTGCTGACCTGGACACTGCAGCTGCTGGGCCTGGCTTCCATGTTCGCCAGCATTCAGATACCACACATTGCCTTTGCTCTCATTGTCATTGCACTGTGCACTAAGAACCTGGAGTACCCGATTCATTGGCTGTACATCACCTACAGGTGACTAAGGCAATGTGACTTGGTGTTGACATGTGGGATGTCAGTGGGAAGGCATGGTGCTGTCTCCACCCTGTGCTGTTTTTAAGTCTAATAATTTTTCTTTTTTTATAAAATAAAAGCATCCAGTAATGTCTCATGTGTTCCTGTTACCACTAGGTGGTGCAAATTATAGCTTTTTTTTTTTTTTGTAAACCCTAGGCCTCGGGTTCAGGTTTCAGATTTTGTTGCTGACTGCCAGATTGCCCCAGAGATCCCACTCTTGTTTAAGATGTAATTCATAGCATGTTATCCTTGCAAAAGTAAATATGGAATGGTCCTTGACTCTGAGGTTGTCAATGGCTGTTCCATTGCAGATAATGGAAGTGGAACCTTCAGTTTCAGGAACTGAGTTCACGAGCCACATTATAGCATCGTTTTGTTGTTGTTTTTCCACTTACTGGAAAACAAATATTTTGTTTGTCATTATTGGAAAATAAGTGAGTTTGAGTACTCTGGCTTTTCACTCAGTTTGGGATGTCAGGGGCTCACTGTGATGAAGGGTGTGTGTGGAAAAGAGTGGTGAGGACCCTCGGTGCTTAGTCTGTCAGGAAAAGAGGGGTGGGGACCCTCGGTGCTTAGTCTGTCAGGCGTGCTGGGTCTCCTGAACACGTGGAGGCAGGGTGGATGTGGGTTCCTGATCACTGATATGTGCTGTTATTTTGGTGAGCACAGAAAGATGTGTAAGGCAACAGCAAAGCCTGTCCCCCCTCGCCTCCTGACAGAAGAGGAGTATCGGATACAAGGAGAGGTGGAGACCCAAAAGGCTTTACAGGAACTCCGAGAGTTTTGTAATAGTCCAGAGTGCTCTGCCTGGAAGACTGTATCTCGGATTCAGTCTCCAAAAAGGTAAACTCTTGGCCCGATAAGCCAAGTATTTATGGGTAGTTAATGACCTTGAAGTCTAGCAGAGATCGTGCTTCTAGATAACTGTTCATATTTTGCCCTTTGATCACTGCTAACCTAGGAGTAGTCAAGAGAAAGTTATCTGTGTCATCATATATTAGCAGCAAATCTAGTTCCTGTTTCCCTGTTTTGATTATAACATTAACATGTGAAGACATCAGTACGATAATTAAGTGTGGCCCTTGTAAGTTTAACATAGATGTTGCTCTTATTTTTTTTTGTATTTCAGGTTTTGTGATGGTCTTTGTAGCTCTGGCTGTCCCGAGTTGCCCCCCACCCCCTTTGGTTGGGAGTGGTTGTACCCAAGAGAATGTGAAGTTTTAGTTTGGAAACATGATAAGCATGAAGTTTATAGGGCCATAAAAGGAAACAATGGTAATGCCCCCAATCTCTTTATCAGGAATATGGTGACTCAAGGAACCTTAGCACCTGTAACTAAGAAGGACAGGGTAGCCACTGTCAGGCAGGCTGAGAGTGCCCAGCATGTTGGCCTCTGAGCCTGTCCTTATTTCCTGCCTGTTTCCTTCTCCAGACTCTGTATCTGCAGAATGAGGACAGGAATTTAGTTAGATTGTGTATAATGTGATCTACAAGCATGCAGAGCCTTTCAGTCTGTTGCTGTTTGGAGAGCCATTCGGGAAGTACAAGAAGCCTCCTAATGAGCAACCCTCTCTTTTGCAGATTCGCTGACTTTGTGGAAGGTTCTTTTCACCTCACGCCAAATGAAGTTTCTGTTCACGAGCAGGAATATGGATTAGGGAGCATAATTGCCCAGGATGAGGAGCTGTCCTCAGAGGAGGAGGACTCAGAGTGCCCCACTGTCACCCAGAACAGCTTCCTGACTTAGATGGGAATCAGTTGTTATTTTCACGTAGACTGGCGTGGTGCCTTGACGGTCCTTGTGTACCTGCTCTGCAGTCTTCCAGGATTTATAATGGCCTGACAAGGGTCCAGAAGCTCCCTGACTGACATGAGGGACTGAGTGGCTTGCCCCTGGCCTCCTAGGGGTCCCTGAGGGAAGAGTGGAGGAAGTAGTGAGTGCTTTGGTAGCTTGCTTCTGACAGTTGAGCTGTTGGTCCACTTTGCTGTCCCTGAAGAAACTGGTTGGCCACAGCCAGCATGATATTCTATCTCCTGTTTGAAAGTTCTCTGAACAATGGCGACTCTGTCACTGTGACAAACCCTCAGAAATGAGTATGAAGTGCAGTAAAGCATTCAGACCATAGGCTGCATCTTCTAAGGGCATTTCTACAAATGTGAGCCATTTTTACTTCTGTCTGCTTGCTATTTCAGTGGGTGTTTGGAATAATCCTTGATCTGACTACTGAAGAAAAATTACTTGTGGCCTATCTTCTTTTTTAAACAAATTATTTTTTTAAACTCAGCAAATTCATGTTTTAGAACCAATAAGTGCTCCAGTATGACCAACTCTATTGATCCCCAGATATTTTATTAGTATAGATATCCATGAAAACCCCTGGTGCTGTTGTGTTGAACCTTGAATTCTCACGAATTTGAAAGTCTTGAGTTTTACTTATATTTTCCAAGCTTTTTTATTCTGTTTAACATTTGTGTTTTTCTTTTGCCTTTTCTTACCACTCACTTTTCCACTCAAGAAGGGGCTGTTTCCTTACCTGTGGAGTATGCACGATTCAGAACCTGTCTCTTTTTGATCGCTGCCCTCTCCCTTTCCCTTCCTAACACAGAGTTTCTTCCACTTGTGACCATTTTTTTTAGTTTTCCTCTGAGTCAGACTCATCTTAAACTCTCAGTCTTTTTACCTCAGCCTTTCAGTGCTAGAATCTTAGCCTATGCCGTGCCAACCTTTTTTTTTTTTTTTTTAAGATAGGGTTTTTCTGTTATCCCTAGCTACCGTGGAACGCATTGTAGACCAGGCTGACCTAGAACTCCCAGAGGTCTGTCTGCCTCTGTCTCCTGAGTGCTGAAATCAAAGGCATGCATAACCATACCTGGCATGCCAAACTTTTTGTCTTCTTTTTTACATATCCCTTTTTTCTTGGTTCCCATATTATAGCTAGGAAGAAAAGTCTTGTTTGTCCCCTCCCCCCATCAGATCACATATCTTTGAGTTACTACACAATCAAGAAACCATCCTATAGTTGGGGATGTAGCTCAGTGGTAGAGCGCTTACTGGCCCGGCATGCCAGACTCTGGTCGGATCTTTAGCACCACAACAAAACAAAACCAACCTTATCTCCTTGTTCCTGTCTCCTTTTATATACCCATTCTGTCCATGCAGCCTTCCTCACCACCTGCGTCTTCCCAGATTTGGTAATTTGAGAGTCCTGAAACTATCTATTAAGTTTCTTTTTTTTTTTTTTTCTCTCTTTTTTGGTTTTTCGAGACAGGGTTTCTCTGTATTGTTTTGGAGGCTGTCGGTCCAGCCCGACCTCGAACTCACAGAGATCCACCTGCCTCTGCATCCCGAGTGCTGGGATTAAAGGCATGTACCACCACCGCCCGGCTCTATTAAGTTTCTTTATGTACAGTCTTTTTTTTTTTTTTTTTTTTTTTTGGTTTTTCGAGACAGGGTTTCTCTGTATTGTATTGGAGCCTGTCCTGGAACTAGCTCTGTAGACCAGGCTGACCTCAAACTTGCAGAGATCCGCTTGCCTCTGCCTCCTGAGTGCTGGCATTTAAGGTGTGCACCACCACCGCCCAGCCCTATGTACAGTCTGAGCTATGTAGCTGCCTTACTCTGCATAATAAACCTTCAGGTGATCTTCCTGCCTCCGATGCTCTCAGCTGTTAGCATCAGACACATTCTCCCTGAATTTACCCTCCTCATTTACAGTTCCTGTTCTGACAGAGATGCTGCCTTCCTATAGTGACGTCAGCTTCAGAATCCCTTGCTGTTGCCGAGACTGTTATGAGGGAGCAGACTCCCAGGTTTCTGCCATTTGCTTGGTTCTTTCATTGTGATCTTCACCGTCACACACTGGAGGAAGTGTGTGACTTCTGTGATTCCTTCAGCCAGGGGAGTAGGTGCTTGCCCAGGCATACAGCATCAGACTCATTGTCTTAGGATCGTCCAGATGGAAGCCCTCGGGGTTTCTTCAGACCTACTATCAGCATTTAATTTTGGAAGACCCTGGGCCCTACTGCTAGCATTCAAAATGCCGGCTCTCCTGGTTGCCAGTGAGTTCTTTCAACCAGTGTTCCCCATAGCCTTAAATTATCCTAAAGTGACAACTACCTCAGCTGGTAGAAAGTGAAATGGGAAAGTGAGCAGTGTCTGATAGGGTTAGGGTTAGAGCTGCAGAGTACAAGGTGTCTTTGTGAACTAAGCGTATGGTAGAAATCTGTCCCTGAGCTTCTGATAGGGGGATGAAGCTCAGAGACGCTCACTCTGCTTGTCCAGCAGGTACAAGGCTGGGGTTCAGTTCTTGGCATCCCAAAACCCACTGCTAACAACAAAAGCCCTCCAAAACCTCCTTTATAGAAATTGATATCTAGTATATTTTAGTGTGGAAACCAATTCAGCTGTACAAGTGGCGTTAGGTTCTAGGAGCCATTGGTGCCTTTGCCCACTTCACTCCCTGTGGATGGCAGCTAAAGGGGAGGGGATTCTGACTAGATCTTGATTTTCATGGGAAGTCACTGTGTGGTGGATGCCCCGTGAAATATGGATTTTATTTCAAGGCCATTTGTTTGTATCTGTGTTTGAATTTGGGACGAGTAAGCCAAGCTCATCTTCTTACCCACCTGGTGGTAGTGGGAGAGCTGCTCTCAGACAGCAAGGTCATCTGTTGCTTTTGTATGCCCTGCTTGTCTGTGTGTCGGTCTGCTTCCGAGCGTCTGCATGCCCAGAGGCTGCTTGATGGGTCTGTCTCATCCCTCAGACTGATCTCACCAGGGGCTGAAGGGGGACTGAGGTGAGCTGGACAGTGGGGCCGTGTCTGCTGCCCTGTCAGCGTCTGCTCAGCAGCTATCAAGCCATAGATTGGTTCCAGGGCTCGGGGTCTCATCATTGGAAATCTATTGCTTCTAATCGGTCTGACCTGAGTTTACAGAGCATGGCTCCCATTAATGGGAGCACAGGGGCAGTTGACATAAGACTTTACTGTGTTCCTTTCCTCATTAGAACATGATGACCAAAGTCAGGGAAGACTTAGGACTTAGGTGACTTTGTTACCCTGAAAGGAGTCTCTGGTCTCTCCCCGCTGCTTTCTTGTTATATGGACAACGGTGGTTTTTGCTGGTGGTGGCTCTTTGGGTCCCACTGTTCTGTTTTCCATAAACACATCCTGTCCTAGGGCATAGCCCTCTACTGATTGTGTTCCCTTTAGCCTACCCGACTTGGCATAGGTGATGAGGTTTGATGAATGAAAGGACCCAGGCAGGCCAGAGAATCCCCTAGGCCTGGCTACCCTGAAGGTGCCAGAGAATTCCCCTAAGCCTTGACACCCTGAAGGGTGTGGGAATGGGTTATGTAATTGCCCTCAATCTTTTATTCCACGAAAAAAAAAAAAAAGATGAGCTGAGATGGATGTCTGTGTTAAAATGGTTCCTAGCTGTGTCCTCATAACTCTGCTGAATTGAATTGTAAGAGTTGAAGTAGGAAGACAGAAAATTATACCCTTCTAGTAGTGTTCCTTTACACTCAGGTCTAGCATATGAGGCGATCATCTGTATTTGAATGAAGCATTTTCCCGGAATTCAGGGAAGGACAGTGGGGCAGATTGAGCTCTCACATTAACTAGGCACTGAGAGCACACACAGAGCAGCTGCTGTTCATGACAAGTCTGCCCGAGCCTTCCATTTCTTTGGGGGAACTTATGCAATTGTGATAGCCCAGTGGTATCTTAGTGACTTAACCGGATTCTGCTGCTGTTGGAATCTGTAAGGTTACTGCCTGGAACAGGTGGTTTGCAAGTCAGGTTTGGTAGTGTGTACCCGAGCTTGGAAGGCTGAGGACGTTTTAAATTGGTAGGGGGGTTAGTAAAGGAGACCCCCATCTCAGAGTAGTGTTTGGTGCCTTACACAGCAGGATGCAGAACCCGCTGAGCACACAAAGCATCCAAACACCAGTGTTAGCCCTGTAGTCTCAGCAGGATCGGGTGGGTACCTAGTCTTAAACATGGGGCTTTGGACCCATAAATGCTCCACATATCTTCTTTTCCTTTGACACACTTTGCTATTTAAACAGGGTGCCACCCTGTAGTCCAGGAACTCAATATATAACTCACTCTACAGCCTGGGACTCAATATGCTGCCCGGTCTTGCCTAGGACTCCCTCAGTCTCTGATTGCCGGGATTACAGGTGTGAGCCACCGTGTCCAGCTTCCTCTTTCATACTTGATGATAACTTGAAAATGGTAAAACTAGTGCTTTGAACTTTGGGGCAGCATAAGCATCACTGTGTGACAAAATGCCCCTAATGTGAATCCCCAAAGCCTGTTAAAACCTGCAATGGCCAGTTTCCATGTCTATGGAATCAATACTGAAATAACAAGGCCAAGAAACTACTAGGCTAAGTTTTAGCCTGCAGTAATGCCTTAGTGTTATTTAGATAAAATATTTGTCATTTATACTTAATAAATATTAATGGATGTTCAGGAAGAATGGAGTTACCAGGGATGACTGTGTCCCCTACTTTTCTGTAAGAAAAAGTGATGCCTGTATTTTATTATTACTATTATATGGCTTGTAAACAATCCCAATTTTAATAAAGTTTAAGTTTTATATGCTTTATAGTGGTCTTTTTAAAATTAAAATGCTTGGCTATTTGGTTTGTGTTAATATAAATATGTGTGTGAGTGTGCCCATGCTGGACACACCTGGGCATCAGAGGATAACCCCTGTGACTCTTCTCTCTTCCACCATGTGGGTTCCCGGGATCCAACTCAGGTTATCAGCCTTGGCAGCAAGTGCTCTTACCCACTAAGTCTCTTAATGAACTTACAATCTTGTGTGGATCTCATACTTTAGATAACTGGCAATTAATACATAGGTTTCATATTACGTATGTCCCTTTTTCTTAACCACACCTCCTTGTCCTGAGTACTGGTTTACTATTTTGGAGGGTGGGGGGGTGAGGCAGTGTCTCATGAGACACAGGTTGGCCTTGAACTCCTTATCTCGTACCTCAGCCTCTGGAGTGCTGGCATCACAGGCATGAGCCTCCACACCCAGCATCTTTTAATTAAAAGTTACTATGGCTAGGAGGCTTGTTGAGTGAATCAGTGTGATCAGATGGCTGTCAGCTATCAGAAGCCAGGGCCAAAAGGACTGGAGTTTGTTTATTTTTGTCGTTCTGTCTGCTTCTTCAGAGTTACATAAGCAGTAAAAGTCCTACGTTTACTGTATAGTTGGGCTGCGACGGGCCATTCCCGAATCCTGTTCCTTTACATGGTGTG